GGGGGGCCCAGGAGCTGGGGGGACAGAGCTGGCGGCGACCCCCGCGGGAGGAAAGGCTCCGGCGCGGGGTGAGGGGTTCCTGCCAGGGGACCAGCCTGGGCCCAGCCCCCCCCACCGCGGCTCCTGTTATTTTTGGCGGCGCCGGGCTCCCCGCCGGAGGAAGCGCTGCCCACGGGGACACACAATGTGCCTTGACGCACACAGCCGTGGCTCCAGCCTGGCTGCTGGCCACCAGGCTGCTGGCTGCCAGGGCTCCACCTTCCCCTCGCCCAGGGACCCCACTCACCACAGTCCCCAGGGACGGTGGCCGGGGATGGCCCAGCCCTACGTGCCGGTGTGCAGTGGCTCCAGTGACTCACACCCCGTGCCAGAGCCTGTGCTGGGACATCTGCGGGGCGCCGCGTCCATCCGTCTGTCTGCTCTGCCAGCCCCTGCATGAACCAGAGGGCACAGACCCCCCTGTGCCCACCCCTTCCGCCATCACCTCTCCCCTTGGCCCCTCCGGCTGCGTGGCTTGGCCGTGCCTGCGCAGCAGCGGGTGGCTCTGCCCAGCAGTGACAGCTCTGCTCTCCCCCACCAGACACCAGCCTCTCGCGGAGCACCATTAAGGATGGCTACTGGTGCAAACTGGCTTACTGGGAGCACCGGACGCGCGTGGGCCGCCTCTACGCTGTGCACGAGGCCTCGGTGAACGTCTTCTGCGAGCTGCCACGGGGCAGCGGGTTCTGCCTGGGCCAGCCGCCCCCCCCCCGCAGCCGTGCTGTCCGGCGGGCGCGTGGCAAAATCGGCCGGGGGTTGCTGCTGAGCCGGGAGCCAGGCGGCGTGTGGGCTTACAATCGCAGCGAGCACCCCATCTTCGTCAGCTCGCCCACCCTGGGGCCCCCCGGCGCCCGCGGGCTCACCGTCCTCAAGGTGCTGCCCGGCTACTCGGCAAAGGTGTTCGACTACGAGCGGGCAGGGGGCACAGGGGGCCAGTGGCTCCCCCGGGGGGGGCCCCGTGGCCCCCCCACCACCCCCCTCAGCCTTTCCAAGGGCGGGGGGGGCCCTCA